AAATTAGAAAAATGTCGTTGTTTTTTTTTTACATAGAGTAGAAAAGTCTTTATTAATTCTATTGTTCCATTTAAGTATTTTTGAATAATCATTACTTATTATTTTGATCTACCACTCATTCGGAAAGCTGTCTCATCACAAGAAGAATGAGTAACTTGCGTGTTCCTCTTTTAAAGAAATAATTACATTATTTCTTTAATTTTGATCTACCACTCATTCGGAAAGCTGTCTCATCACAAGAAGAATGAGTAACTTGCGTGTTCCTCTTTTAAAGAAATAATTACATTATTTCTTTAAAAGAGGACATACATTTCTAAGTTGAAATATGTGAATACATTTCTATTCATTTCTCCTTATATTTCTAAGTTGAAATATGTGAATACAAATTACCAACTAGTAGTAACTTAGTCTCCAGTTTCCGCTGTCATGCTTGCTTTGTGAGTTTTTTTCGGACTGCTCTAACGCTGTTGGCCGCAGCTGCCCATAACACAAGCCCTGCTTATCTTGATACTAGATGGCGCTGTATGAATTGTTCTGAGATCTTACTATATTATTATTATGCGCGTAGTGCTGTTATATAGGCAAAGGTTACAATGTACTATCACGTGGTTATACAAATCAAATCAAATCAAATCAAAATACCATTCAAATTCAAATTAAAAAATCATTTATTCAGGTAGGATATTTTAGCTTATGAACGACAAATTTTTTGTATTATAATTTTTCCTATCGTCCATTTCAGTACGCAGATTCAATAGAATAGAATAGAATAGAAAATCATTAATTTAAGCACTTTTGTATAGTCATAACAATTTTTTTTAATCTATCGCTCATTCGGAAAGCTCTCTCATCACACGAAGAACGAGCAAGAAACTTGTGTGTTGAGAAGAACTGGCAAGAAACTCAATTGTATTACTTTTTTTTTAAAACCAGTATTTTTATATAGGTGTCTATGTCTAACATTAAATGAAAATCCCGTGCATGAACAACTATTGCCATGCACACTCGTCATTCAAGTAATCGTTTAGTGAGTAATAGGCTTGGCTCAGTAAATATAATTTTCCAGATGTTTTGAATTTATTTAAGGGTAATTCCAGTATAACTTATTGTAAATTTTTATACCCATAAAAATGTATTTATTTATTCATGTAGGTCTACTACAGACTCTTGTGATATGTCATATCAATCAGTTCGCAGTGATTAATATCAGTATTTTTGCTATTATATTTACATAAAAAAGAATGTGGTAAAAAGCTGTTAGTTTCTATGCGACACATTGCTCTGTAGTGTGCGACACCGCGCGGGTCGTTGCGGCTACACTGCACTGTACCCAGTTCATATATAGTGGGTTAGTAATAATAATATATTTGATGACCTCGGTTGTATAGTGGTTTAGTGAGCTGCTTTCTGAGTGGGTAGCATGTTCAATCTTCGTATAAGGTCATTTATATTTTAGTATAATAATCTCAAACCAATTCACACGGCACCATCTAGACCCACGATAAGCTAGCTAAAGATTGTTTTATGGATAACTGATACAAATACATATATATATTTTTGTATTCATAAATACATACATATTATACATAGAAAACACCCAGACCGATACAAAAATTCATACTCATGAATATAAATGTTTGTTCGTGCGAGGAATCGAACCCGTGAATATTGGAAAATAAGGCGGTGTGCTAAACTGCTAGACTAACGATGCCGTTTGTATTCAACTGGGTGTTTTTTAACTATAATGAAATTATTTATATATTTTATTATTAATGTTACTTTTTGTAATCTATGGATTAATAGTATATAATATATATTAATTAATATATATTATATACTATTAATAATTTTTAATACATAAATATTTTATTCTTTTAGTCTATTTAAATATATATAACTCAAAGGGGACTGACGTAGTGATCTATCAACGCACAGCCCAAACCACTGGACGGTTCGGGCTGAAATGTGACATGCAGGTAGATGTTATGACGTAGGCATCCGTTAAGAAAGGATTTTGATTAATTCTACTCCCAAGGGGATAAAATAAGGGATGAAAGTTTGTATAAAACTTTTTCAATTTTAAACCTATCGGGCTGAGAGTTTGCATGCATAAAGCTACTATGACGTAGGCATCCACAAAGAAGAAGGATTTTGATAAATTCCACCCCTAAGGGGATAAAATAGGGGATGAAAGTTTGTACAAATCTTCTTAGATTTTGCAGGCCTTAATTTTTTACACACGGTAAACAAAAGTAAAGCCGCAAAAACTACACCTAATTAATAATAATACTTACAACTACGCGAGCGAAGCCGCGGGCAAAAGCTAGTATATGTATGTAGCTATAAGTTCTCTAGTACCTACCCATTATAGTACTAATATAACATACTAACATAATATAGTATATTGCTTAGCTTGGGACTAGATGGCGCAGTGTGGATTATCAAGGACTATAATTATTACCATATAGTAGGTACTTATATTATATTCATACCGAGTATTGTGTTCATTTGGTTATTATTCAGTACCATATAATTCTAAGATATACTCGTAAATATACAAGATATTTTAAGTGTTTGACCCTGTCTATTTAAATTGGACTCGGGTCCAAGGCTGAATTTATCATAAAAAAAACCGCCTAAAATCACAACTCTGGTCCGCCCAAGATGTGTTTTTAACGCACACCCGAACATTCACTCACACATGCTCACATGACGTGACTTTTATAGACGCGTCAGCTGAAAAACAAGATCACGCGATATTAAACCTTACGTCATTGTAATAGATAAGCAAGCGTGCAAGGAAACGTTTAAATTGGGATATTTCAAAAGTCGAATTCGACTCTTGAAATAGTTTGCAATAAAGTGAATTGAACTCTATTGTGAGTGGAATAAAGTAGGAAGTTGATTGGTTTTGGGTAATGTATGTACCGAATGAGAGAGCTTCCCGAAGTGCGCCGAGCTGGTACCGATCGGGTCCGAGTGGCGCCGAGACGCGGCGAGTGCCGCGAATGCATTACGACGTAGTGCTATAGGGTTGCCACTCATGAAAAATTGTGAGCTTTAACAAAAAAAAAAAAATACAGGGTCACAATCAACAGTGTACAAAGATTCTATTTCTATTTCTGTGGTGTAGCGCACCGCCTTACTTCCGATGGTCGCGGGTTCGATTCCTCGCACGGTGCAAACATTCATGAGTATGATTGTTCGTATCGGTCTAGGTGTTTTCTATGTATAATAAGTATGTATTTACAAAAAATAATATCTAAGTATTTCTATCAGTTGTCTAGTACCCATAACAGCTTTAGCTAGCTTAACTTGGGACTAGATGGCGCTGTGTTAATTGTGGTTATTTATTTATAAATTTGAAGTTTTTTTATTTTCTCCACAAATTTGAACATAAAATATATAACACTAGCAATATTATATTATAAAATTTGTAGGACTTTGGAACATAAACTAAATCGGAGATCTGTGTCTTATAGGAATGTACCATAGTTTCCCATCTCACACGCATTTATATAATACTTAAATAAATATAAATCTATACATATAAATAAAATTGGGAGTGTCTGTTTGTAATATTGAAATAACCGTATTTTACTACATGCATATGATTATAAAGACAATACATCCACCAAAAAACACTTTTTAAAATTTTTGTCTGTCCGTCTGTCGGCTAATCTCTGAAACGGTTGGACCGATTTTAACGGGACTTTTTTTGGCAGGTAGCTGATATAATAGGGCGTAACTCAGGCTGCTTTTATTTTAGAAAAATAAAGATAAATTCCACGCGTACGAAGTCGCGGGTGCAGCTAGTAAATAATGTAATAATTAAATAATACGTCCATATCTCAGCGATGCTAACTCAAATATAGAGGCAAGAGAAATGGTTACGAAATGAACCTAATATGTATGTAATTAAGATAAAAAACACGAGTTTACAAACGCGTCATTGCACCAATACCAAAGTCAGTGATGGTATTATATAAATACAGAAATGAACAACTTCTCTGAAGAAGCAAGAAGCAAGAAAGTCGTACAGTATGACAATAATATTAATATATTCTATATGGTTAGTATATAATTAAGAACTAATAATTTATGTATTATATGTAATACAAGCTGTACACGACTTCGTCCGCGTGGAATTTAACTTTGTTTTTCTAAACTAAAAGTAGCCTGAGTTACTCCTTATTACAACAGTTACCTGCCAAAAAATGTCCCGTCAAAATCGGTCCAGCCATTTTAGAGATTAGCCGGAACAAACAGACAGACGGACAGACAAAAATTGTAAAAAATCTTATTTTGGTGTATATTCCGTATTTATATTCATATGCATTTAGTAAAAAACGGTTATTTCAATATTACAAACAGACACTTCAATTTTATTTATATGTATAGATGTATAGAAGATGTATAGATATACGTCACGTGACCAATTTAATATGAAAGTACGAAATTTGTTTTCGGTGTCCCGCGTTGTTTCTTGGTAAAAAGTGTTAAGTTTTATGAGAATTCTGCTCTTTAGCTTGACAATAATTGATTTATTTTTAAAATACCTCACTACTGTTATTATTATTTATAATTTACCTATTAATATTATTATAACCATGTAATAACAAAGGAAACTAATTTTATTCACGATTTAATAAACAAATTTAGAGTATACGATCTCATTCTTATTGTAATATTTACACAAAAGAGTATCTTCAGCTTAATTTCTTCAACAAATTAAGAAAACACCGAATAATTATTCTTAAATACACAACTCCAACCCACATACATTTTAATTGCAACATAAAGTGTATAAAATACTGGGACAGAATTCGGAACCATAAAATAACGAGTTCAGTAAACCAACACAAAATGCAGAGGAAAATCCGGAAAAGCTGCGTGTAGGCAGCCCTGGCGTAGGGCGGCAGAGGGCGGGCTGGTCCGTGTGTGCGGCGGCAGGGGGTGAGCGGGGTGGGGGGCGCGTGAGGCCGCCAGTCGGACGCGGGGCGCCGCGTAGCCCGCACGCGATATGCGCGCCCTCTAACGTATTATGTTCCTCCCCGAACTGCCGCGAGCCTGCATGGTGGACGACGTAGCAACTTACCTACAAGCTCCCTCCTCGGGACAGGTGGCTACAATATATTAACAACAACCCATATGTAATTAACAATGATCATATTAACAGATGTTGTGAGCTAATGTTGCTTACCGGACTGCGCCCGCCGCCCGGGTATTTTCGTAACGATTTCACCGTCCGATCGATGGGCGCACGTGATGTTAGTGTTAGGACGAATGCAATAAATTCGGCTAATAAAAAAAAAGTTTAAAAAAAAAAATCAACCACGTGGTTCCGGAGAAGAGCGCAGAGAGAAGATAGAAGTGATGAGCGATGGAGGACGTGGAGAAAGTAAGGGTAACGATACAGTAAAGTGTGTGTCAAAACAAACGGTGTAAACAGATCGATAGCTGGTACACGAGCCACGAACTTTTACAATAAAGCTCAGAGTGGCAATGCAGTAAAACCGAAATGCGTACGACGATAAGAAACGCAGAATGTTGAACGATTCAGAGGTTTAAATATAATTCTGATCTCACACGCTCTTATATAAAGAACTCTTAACAAAATATACATAATTGCAATGTAATAAACATTATAACACACACATTTGAAAACTATAGAAAAAGAAATAATATTTTTTGATTTAATAATAATCTTTCATTTTTGTAAAAGTCTGAAATTTACTTATATGAAGGATATTGATAAATTTAAGAATATAGCATTAAAAAGCTTAATTATATGCAATAATAAAATGAATGAGTCTTCAAATCTGAAAACAAACAACAAATATAAATATGTGTACAAATATATAATTAGAGAAGAAATAGAATATACACATGCTTGCAGACGTTAATGTATTGGAAATTTAAGATATCATCTACATAAACTAATTAATTGCACAAAACAGAAAAATAGAAGTGTATTTCTAAAACATTTCAAATAATGCTACTTATCTATATCTAAAAGTAGATACAAATAAACATACATATAAAAAGAAATGACGTAGACATTTCAAAGTCACGAATAACTTCTAAATCTGTAATACCCCGAACTATAACTAAATACCTTAATATTGTATTAACAAATCTTTAATTGAAAGAAACATCAAAAGATACTGCAGTAAAAAATCTAGGAATGGTGGATATTGGAGCATTTTTTCGAGATTGCAAATTGGTAGATGGGAAATCGATATGGTGTGTAGGAAAGATGTGAGTAAGCTAACTGCAGGGGGACTACGGCATCGTAGCATAACGCCCATTGATAGCTGCAGTTAGTAAAGTGGGATCGCTGAATTTGTTCGTACTTTTACTAGTTTCTAGCTGTTTTGGTTGTTTTATAACAAATTTGTTTTGCAAAATACATCTTTAATTGAAACCTTAACTATAACATCTACACTTTTGATTACTTTAAAAGAAATTAGTTTGATTCTAGTATTTTAATTAAAATTAAAAGAGTTATATGATGTACTAAGCTAGCCATTTAGAATTTGATTACGGATTTTTCTTTGAAAAAAAAAATTATTACTTTAAAAGAAGTTAGTTTTTTTTTTAGAATTTTAATTAAAATTTAAAGAATGAGTATGAAGCTAGCTGAATTATTAGCTATGGATTTTTCTTTTAGTTCCTTCACAAGAATCTCATCTAATTTAGTATATAGATCTAATTGGATTTCCTCGAGACGGTTAACCATTAACTTCAGTGCAGATATTTTAAACTTATGCGTTATTGCTTAATTTTTAAATATTAACTTATATTTTAACCTTTAATAAGATCGATATCGATCTTGCAATTAAAAACATTTTGTATGTTAGTTCGAGTGAAATTTGACAAATAAGTTTTGAAGTGGCTAATTTGTATAAAATTTTTATTAAATGTACTAATATTATTACAAATTTTCAATTTTAAACATTATGTCTCTTTAAATCTTCCGTAAGTAATATACGCTAGCAACTGCGGTAACTAATGAATTTATTTCGTGCCGATTTAATAGATCAAAATATCAAATCAAATCAATTTCATTTGTATAGGATATTTTAACCGTTAAACACGGATGAATGTCAAGAATCTTCTAGTAATATATTTTCTTTACTGTCCAGTTCAGTATACAGCTTAAATTGAGAAGAAATGGAAAGCAACTTAACTGAATTATAATACTTTTTCAAAAGTAATTTCTTTTAACATTGTTAGATGTTATGTTGTTGGTAACATTTATATCTATTTCACATTAATTGAAAATCCCGTGCATGAACAAATAATCTTTAGTGAAAAATATAGGTTTGCTTAATAAATGTAATTTATTTCATGAAAGATAACATGCCAATCTCTCCAAGATCCCTCTAAACATACTGTTAGGCAATATTATTATATCAATATTGAATAGATGTGCATTTATATTTGTTGGATCTACAGTTGGCTGGAGATTGGCTTTATATTTCTCGAAATATTTTCATTATACTCAAAATACACAAATTCTGTGATGCCTATACTCACTTCTATCACTTTACACCTTTAATTTTTCATTTTACTGTTACCGGTTATGGGCCCAGTAATATTTTATATTTCCTTTATAAGAAAAGAAGGTATATAAAACAAGAGGCTTATATTTTCGGCACATCTCATATTGTACGTATACACTCTGTCAACATCTACATAATATTATCTACGTACATTTGCATAACTTTCATATCTTATTTTCTTAGCGTCTTATTATATCTATAAATAATGTCCATCGTCGAAGCTTCCTGTCAGGCTCACAAAATTACATAAAATAAAGTCAGTTAGATCCCAAATTAATCTTAGTTTTCCGCCAAAATAAATACCCTATGGTTTTATGACTATTATTACTAATTATTTAGTTAATAGTAAAGGTCTGTTAACAATAGATGCAGCAATAATTAATAATGAATAAATGATTAAAATAAAAAAAAAATATAACGTTTCCAATTACAAATAAAGAATACATAAATAAATGTTGATATCAAATCAAATCAAATTATTTATTTGCAGAATACAGTGCTTATTGGCATATAGGATATTAAATGTAATATCCAATAGAACAAATTACAACCAATCAATAATATGATTTATACCAATGATTTGATATTACAAATATTCAAGTATATATTGTCATTGCTACATTTCTTTTTGATCTTATTGATAGTAGTTAAGAAAATAGTCTTTAGTTAAACTACAAAATTTAACTAAACGATATTTGCTCCGATCCTATATACATTTTTATGCTCCAAAGCTCAAAGCCAAGTCAGCAAAGCGCACTGAAGCGTAACAACAATCCAATTGTTTAGAAAATACATTCTAATTTAATTTTATGCAAAATAAGCAGAGAAACTTATGTACTTACTATGTTATTAAAAGCATTAATTGATATTGAACTTGGATATAATATACACAATAATTTAATATTATCAATAATTGACAATAATGCAGATGCCTTATGTTAGTTTGCCACCGTCGTAGTATAAAAGAATAAGAATTCAAATTCTCTTAAAATAAAAACAGAAATGTATGTTATAAGTAGGACTGTTATATACGTATATTGTAAGGCTGATAAATATCGCTGGAATAACGAAAGGTCCTTTATTGTGGAAAAGGAGGAAACTACAATGCGAGTATCTGGGGCATATCGTGCATAATACCAAGAATGAGAGGCATACTAATCATCCGATGGGATACAAGGCGAACGAAGGGAATGAGGTAACGCCGATGTTGTTTTATAAGATCCCACTGCTTTGTGCTATCTTATTGATGGAAGATATAATCTGTGACCTTCGATACAGGAAAAATAGAAGAAAGAAAACGTTACTGAAGTCAACATTGCTATTAATCTTGATAATAAAGTATACATTAGAAGATTGCAAGCAACTATAAAAACAGTATCTGATAGGATAAATGAATTTAACGATAATATAATTGATTTAACTTTAGAAGCATGATAAATATAAATCAAGGGAATCACTTAACATGTGCGAGAAAAATTGTTGTCGAAAACTAACGTGTACCTTCACGCTATGTCTCTTGCGGGGACAAAAAAAGGCGTCCGAAAATACCCGGCCGGCAGTCGCTGAGCGCGCGTCGCATCGGTGTTTTAAAAGATACATGTTTTCTGTCCCCCTCGTGTTTATTTCTCTTTCTATCACCTTTTCTTGCCACTTTCGATGTTTGAATGTTTTTCACTAACTGTTAATATTTAACCTTTATATTTAACTGTAATTAGATGTATGTTTTTTGCGTGAAACTTTATACCTTTCGTTACGGAAACGAAGAATTCCAATGAATTGTTATTATAACAAATTCTTGTAGAAAAATGATGTAATCAAAGTTACTTAAAAATAGCATTTTAAAGTTTGTACAGAGAGTCTAAAAAGTAAATTGTAAAATTCATTTATATAAGACTTACGTTTCGTTTAAAATAAAGTTTCACGCAATTAAAATTAAAACGTATATTTTATTTTTAATATCAGTGTCTGAAAAACTCGTCCAGGAAAAAGGCTATATGTATTAAGAGGTCTTATGACTAATTAAATCTGACATTAGAGTATAATTATGCTAGAGGAGTAATCTCTAACAGAGGTATTGATTTTTTTAAATTCTTATGACATTATATGTAATAATTGTTTTCCTGGAAAGGGTTTTGTTTTTAAATCTTGTAAATGTGCATGTCTCTTGAATGCACTACCCCTAAAGCAAGGTTGTGATGCACGTAAACCATTTCTCTTCTATGTTTTTTCATCTTTTTTTTTTTTGTAAATCAGAAAGGCAAGGGAAAGTCCATTAGTGAATTGGATGTTTGGTTATGGATATTTGGGATGTAAAGTTTTGAGTGATCTGATGATGTGTGTATATGTTGAATAATTGGTGGTATTAATTTTATAATAAATATCTTTTTTAATATCTTGTAACGCAGTGGTTACCACTTCACCACTGTAGCGGTATATGTGTGATGAGGTGTCGCTACATAATATATTAGTTTATTGTAGTATCTAGGTAGTGAGTATACCGGTGAAATAATTGTACTATTTATTGTACATTAGCAAGTTTATTGAATAGTGTGCT